TCCCAATAATAAAAGGAGGGCCTCTCTCCACCAGGATTCTCTTTATCCCCCCATCAGCCTACAGGAGTAAGTTGGTCACAATTAGTTAGTATTGATTGTCAGAGAATTAGCTAAGTAAAGTCAGAGATTTATAAGTAGTAGAACCAGAACCATTGAGCCATAAAAAAGTGAACTTAAGTAGTATTATTAACAATTAACATATAACAAGTAGTAGTAGTATTAACACCGGAGCTCTAGTTTTGATTAAAGTGCCTTAGCAAGAAATTCTTTGAGGAAGAGATCATTAACAAACTCTATCAACTCAACTGTCTTGCGCTCAACCATAAGCACCACAGTTTCCATTATTAACCTGAAGTTGTAACAGATTCATTAGTAGATTGATACGTGATCTAGGTCTGATAGAGATTACTTTACAAAAGTAAGATCTATCTTGGATCTTAGTCATTTGTTTAGTAAAATTAGAGGGGCAGGTCTTCCAAACCACCTGTAAGTTGTAATAGCCTTTCAACCTATTTCAATTTATTTCCCCCTCAAGGGATCTTTTGATATACATATACTTTAACGTGTCTATCCATCCCAGGAGTCCTACAGCGGGGTGTACAATTGGTTTGATATTGGTGTTTTTCACAAGACCAAAGTAATTCCATTGTTCAAACTGATCAACAAGAGTGCTGATACCAAGCTATATCTAATGTTGCTGGACTTGGGATAGGGTTATGTGGGATGGTCAGTTTTAAAGATATCAAGCAGGATGAGATTGAAATGATCAAAGTCTACTCATGTCTAGTTCCTGCACTCAAGTCTACAAGTGCAAAACACTCATCATATGGGCCAATGAATATCCGGACTTGGCATGCACAACTCAATTCAATTGAAAAGAAAGGGTTTCCAGTCAAGGCCAAGAGATGTATGTGCAGAGCTCCTGGACTTGCAGAGCAAGTCTTTTTCCTTGGCCAAGCTGGCAAGCATGAGGCCCTGGAATCCTCAAATTCGTCAACACTTTTGCAGTGCATGCTCTTGTTGCATTGAGTGAATAACCTGTTCCATCAATCAAACATCCTTCAAAAATAGACTGTAAGCCTTTTCTGATGGAGTGATCTACTTCCACAAGTCTTTCTTGAGTTGGCCAATGGGTGTATTCTCCGTTGCCATGAGGATTTATATGGTTGTCTTTTGATCTCTTTTTCTTTATGCTGGAAATACAATTTGTTACATTTCATCATGTAAGACATGCAAGGATACATAAGCTGGCCGAGTGAGAGCAATACAGTGGCATTTCAGATACATTTGAGATTGCTAGGAATCAGGAGCCCATGACCTTTTTGGCCAAGGCTCCAGGTCCACTAGCACCCTCAATGTCAATTCAAAATAAGAGCAAAAATTATCGAAATTATTTTGATAACACTGAGTGTCTATCTCAAAATTATTTCGGAATCATTGCGAAGTAGCCCTTTGGAGTCGATTTCAAAACCACAGAGTTTTGTAATTACTTCAAAAAGATTTTGAAGAAGTATTGGAAGGTCTTCAAAAGACCATCGGAATACCTTTGGCATTGCATTGCGGAATGCACCTGGACCGAGGTCCAGGACGTCCGCCCCTGCGGGCGCATATTTTGAAACATTTCCGCACGAAATTTGCAAATGTTTTGAAACCCAGCACTTGTAGTGTATATACAGCCAAACCGAGAAAGCTTGCGGTCTCGGTTGGCAGAATTTCTAAAAAAATAAAAAAAACTGCGACTGCAGTTGGAAGATTTGGAAGAATACAGTGAGTGTACAGACTTCCAAATGCTCAAAGGCATCGTCGATGGGGTCTGGCCGGTCAAGGTATTGGGGGGCTGGGGCTGGGGGACCAATCACATGATGGGCCGACCAGACCAACATTGCTATCAGGATTCCAATGCTCTTACCCTCATGAGCTAGAATCAAGAGATGAAAAAGATAGCAATTAAAATCAAGACTAAACCCTGTATGTATGTGGGCATACAGGGTGGTGTAGTCTTCCAAACATTCCAGCTGCTGGCAATGTTTTTCTTTTTTTTGCCAACCAAGACCGCAAGATTTCTCGGTTTGGCTGTATATGTGTGTGTATTGTGACCAGATGAGTATGCCACATGAAAAAATGGTACACACCCAGAATGGGAACAGGAATTGAGAAAGAGTGAGCAGTCCTTCTGGAGCTATTTAAAACTTCAAATGAAGCTAATATACAGACAAAAAAGGATGGGAAAAGGAGATGGAAGTCAAGTGTTCTTTGTTGACTTCTTGAAAGTCTGCCTGGCATTGTACAAGAGCCAATTCAAGTCTTGGGTCTGATTCAATGAAGCTAATATACAGACAAAAAAGGATGGGAAAAGGAGATGGAAGTCAAGTGTTCATTGTTGACTTCTTGTAAGTCTGTCTGGCATCACACAAGAATCGATTAAAGTCTTGGGTCTGATTCAACTTTTCCAATAAGAGCCCCATCTCATCTATTTTTCCCACAAGAATTATATGTTCCCCGCCCCCAAAACAAAAGGGAAGCAACAAACAAAAATACGTTAGCAAGAGTAGAATGAGTCAGATGAAGAGGTGGGGAAGAGGAGAGACCGATGGACTGACTACACGGCGGATCCATCAATACTATTCTGTAATCAGATTCAGCAAGATCTAGTTCAATGTAAAACACTCTATCATAGGTGTTCATGTCAATTAACTTAAAGTTGAATCTCAATCTATTGGCTATCAACAAAAAGAAAGAAAAACAAAAATGTGAGAAGTCGGACACGCATTAACAAGATCCAGTGTTTTTTTTTTTTTCTTTCATTTTTTTAAGGTTATCAAGTTGAAGAGGAGAGAAAAAAAAGATGGCCTTATGCGCTACGATCAAGATCGTTAAAACGGTGATTTCTTTGAGGAAATGAACTTTGTTCTTAGTTTCTTCAATGACCCGCACCAATTTGCCCTTTTCTGGGTTTTTCTTCTCTTCTAAAGCCACAAATTTCAGTTTACAATGTGAGAAGAGCCGATTAAGTTTGTCCAATCCAAGTTCCTTTTCACATTGATCATCCCTCAATTTAGACAATTGATTTCGTGTGGCTGACAACTTGTTGTTTAGCTTCTCATTTGATTCAACTGTTTCAGTCAGTTCTTTTTGGATCAAGGCAAGTTTACACTTTGACTTAGTTTGTTGATGTTCTAATTCTGCTAGGTCAACGTTGAGCTGATGGGAAAGGTGAAGTTTGTGTCTTGAGTAACGATCAATAAGTCGTTGGAGTGATTCTTCATGTTTGGAGAGAATGCTTCTTAGTTCGGGATTGTATCCAACCCTTCCCCCTGGTATCTGAGGTGGTTCGGGTGATTGTAGAAGAATATCGGTTTGCAGGGTGACAGGGATTGTAGGAAGAGGTGCCTGAGAAGGTGTATGAGTCAGCAGCGGGGTTCCGACAAGGATTTTCCTTTCCTTTTTTGGACCAAGATATGGGTTGACTTTTGAAATCAATGATCCAATTGGGTTTTGGTTGGGGATATAGCTGGCTGAGAGGTTGATCCGCTTGGATGTGGCTGGAGTGCTAGCGGTAGCTTGGTGCTCTTCTGGTGTCATGGGGGACGGGGTTGAGCCGTATGATTATGTATAACAGGGCTCTTACAGGGGTGTCTGTGACTGTATAATCTTACTTCGGAAGGATTACTGAAGTTCATCAAGTACAAACCCTTTATATGTAGTACAGCCATGCTCAAAAATCTTGCGCCAGCTCGGACTCCACGAATTGCAATGTTGAGAATTTGAAGATTTCTATTTTCATAAATTTCGTCTGTGTACATATTAGCAGATCGAAGAGTTGCTTTTGGAAAGTGTGTATGATGGATTGACTGATCAAATTTGGATGGGCAATTGCTTAGTGTTGGAAGGGGATGGGTGCATCTGATGATCAGTTGGTGTGGTGGCTGATCCTCTCTGATGGATTGGTGGGTGATGGATGTGATGAGTGGATGAGCAATGAGGTTTTCTAATTGGTGGGTGATGGATGTGATGATGAGGAGGATTTAATGAAACCCCTTGGGTAGCCTCGGGTAGATTGAGACCACCTGTGAACACTGAACGGTGCAAGTAATACTATATAGAGGGCCCAGTTCCGTGCACAAAATAGGCTCCAGAGAGCCTGTTTGCTGGCGGGTTTCCTTCCGTGAGTTCCATGAGTTGGGCCCGTGCTCCCACCCCAGATTTAGATTTTCCCAAGTCCGCTCCCAGTTTGACTTGAGCTGGAGTGTTCCTCCGCTAAGTCCCTCTCCACACCTTTAAGGGTAACCGTTGCATGTAGACTTTTCAAAACCGGTTGTAACCTTGCAAGCTTTCCGATTCACTTTTCTTTTTTAACACTTACTGGACAGCCAATCTTGTTCCATCAACTGGAGTACAACAAGTTTTGTTGGACAATCTCCTTGTACTTTAACAACCCATGTTAAAAAATACATATGCTACTTTTGAGTACATGATTTGGTATTCAAATGAGGCATCTATATGGAATTTCAATCACTCATCGGCATACACGGTTTTTGGTTTGATTATTTCCAAGATACAAGTGTGCTATCAATGAACAATAATACAATATCTTCACTACTAGGAGGCACCAGAATCAGCCAAGGAGATAAAGAACATGCTTGAACCACAATAAGAGATGAGATAGAGATCTGAGCAGAATCAGGAAATACAATAAAAGCACTGGAGACACAATAAGAGGCAAGATAAAGATTTCATGAAACTGAATTACTGTTGAGATGCTGATCAATGTTAGTGATATTCAGGAGGTTTATCCTGTGAGTTGCATTGATTTCTTCCCCATTGACATCACTGCCTCCAGTGTCTTCCTCATCATGTGGTACAATTCCTATATCTAATTGATCACCCTCAGTTCCTCCAGTTCTTGGTGGCGAGAGTGAGTTCAACAGTGTAGAGATCTTTTGTTGGTACCCGTTGCTAGGTACCTAGTACCGCTTGGCGGTACTGCCCGCACCCACCTTGCACCCGCCAGGCGGTGCCAGGTGCGGTGCCGGTGTAAGACTTAAAAGTGGTTGCAAAACCCTTTTGCTGAATGGAGAAGGGGATGGTGGAGTTGCAAGCTCTGCCCTTCTATGCTATCAGAACAACAAGACCACCAAGCTCAGCTTGGCAGTTTATGTATTGTGATAGAGGATAGTTTGAGATGAAGCTGTCAACTGATTTGTATAACAGTTCAAGTTGATGGTGATTGTTGATGATGGTATTTTTGTTGGTAGAAGTGGTGATGATGATTGTTGTCAAGGTTGAGGCTTGAACACAGGTCCTTGAGGTTGATGATATATAAAGTTGAAAAGAGGTGATTTGGATCCAAGGCGCTGGGCACTGGGAGCACTATGCTTCAACCAGGAATGGAATGGAGGACCAGGCGCAGGTGGAGATAAGGTGGAGTTAAGGTGGAGTTAAAGTGGAGTTAAAGTGGAGTTAAGGTGGATGTCTTGAATGGGAATTTAAACCAGGTCCTTGTGGTTGGGGTGTGCGAAGCAAAAAAGCAGTGGATTTCAGGCAAAGGTGAGATAGCTGAGTGGTTATGAAAAAAGTGATGTTGATATTTCTACACTATAAAGAACTGTTATAATATATATAACAGGGGTTAAGATTGTAAAACCTCGATACTAGGTAGCTGATAATATTGAAGAGTGACCAGGGATGTAGTGTAATGGGGGGGACTGACTACAGAGCATCTGATGAGAAGGGAATACAACTGGCAGGCAGAGGCCTCCTTATATAGACAAAAGTGAGGGAATTTAGCTGCAGGGTACAGGCTTTGAGGCATTTTAGCTGGCCTGAAAATACAATGAGGGAATTTAGCTAGTCTAGTGCATGCAGGTGAGGGAATTTGGCTGGTGAGAGCACAGCCTTGTGGGGTTTTAGCTAGCCTACAAGGTCCTACTACAAAGGAATGCCTGTGCACCTACAAAGGAATTCAATATGAAATATGAGCTAATAAAGGAATTCAATATGAAACAAAGGAACTCAATATCCAATATGCATCCAGTATTCAAAATGAGCTATAGTCAGAGTAAAGAATCCAAGAGACATCCTGTGTGTGAGCCTGGGTCTCTATAGTGACAGCAGGACACAAGAATTTGGGGGGCACTTTTAAATGTATTTCTTAAGAAAAGAGAAATACAAATAAAAGTAGAAAAAAGGGGAATGAAAGACTGAGAGAAAGAGATGATATTTTTGTTCTTTATTTATTTTAAGAAGATGGATTAAGTTAAGCAGTCTTACTTTCCACTAAGGATGGCTGGTAATAAGCGGAGCTAACTCTGACGCCTCCAAATCAACAGAAACTGAAATGGGATATTGAACTGATGAATCAGATCAATCCACAATTTTTTAGATCAAGGATCAAGGCTCTTTAAAGGGAAACCTATGTAGTTTTCAGTTATACTACCAAACAGGGAGAATTAAGGTAATAGCAGCTATGGCTTGCTTTCTTGGATCAGGGCTTTGGGTTGGAGGAGTAGAGAAAAGGTTGAGAGAGACTGAGAGAATAAACAAGCAGAAAGATGCTAGCTAAAACTTATGAAAAGTACTTACTAATGACACCAATGACACTGAAATAGTGGGAAAGGTGGGAAAAGTGGAGTGCTTCTGGTTGATAAGTGATGGCTTGATCTGTTTCTGGGTGTTGGTGTTCTGTGGTGGTCTGGAGTCTGAAAATCCTCTGGAAGCGGAATCAACAAGCTCAGAGAGGATTTTCAAAGTTGGATTATGTAATCTGGCATGTACATGTGGTAGAGGGAGCTGAAACCTAAGGTTGGAATAATTCTTGGAGTACTGTGAATTATTACAAAGTCAATGAAGGAATGGAGTTGGGTAAAAGTGGTCAGTGGTGACTAGGGTTAATTTTACACCAGGAATCCATTTCTGAAGTCAGAAAGGTTAAAAGTCTTAAGATAAAAAAGATATGATAGTATTTTGAATAGAAATGGGCAGTTTTGGCAGTCTTTTGGCCAACTTGGTTGGCTCTAAGGCTGACACTGTGACAGGTTGAAATATGTGTAACTTCTGGACTATGTGAGATAAAGGTATGGTTGTAGTGGGTGACTAGGGGTTATTTTACCTCAGGAATCCATTTTTGATGTCATTTTTACCCTATCTTGAATGAATAAAGAGATAATGAGAAATTTTTATATTTTCTGCGTAGAAACACAGTATTATTTACCACACCGGGTGCCGTTTTTTTGGCAAAAAAGGGGAGATACCCAGGTATTGCTATGGGTACCGCCCCCATGAGTCTTGACCAGAAGGGTTTCCTTACAGCCGATGAGGTAGATGTATGGATCCCTATGACTTGTACTCAGATCCAATATGGTTAGGAGGTAAGTTTGTCCTTCCGCCAATCCCAATGATAGAATGGTCATCTGAGTTGCTTGCATTTGTAGATATCCTGGTTGAACTGACCAGGGGAGAACTACAGTCACGTCTAGAAAGTCAGAAAGAAGTGTTGCTTGAGCTGATTGGAAATACAAGAATGGAGTTCGGCTGGTATGCCAAGGAGATGCTCAAAACAATCACTTTGAACTTCTTGAAAACCGTCAGTGCAGAGAAGTAAAACCAAGAAAAAACCCGGTTTTTGTTTGTTGATGGGGGCAAATGGGCTTTCCTTCAAGATGCTATAGCGGATACCAAGCAATTTGGAGCAATATCACGCCGATGTGATTTTGCCACACACAAAAACAGATCAGACCTAAATTAATGCCTTTTTGAGCCACGCATACAGGTCCCCGACTGCTCCAAATTTCAGATACACATCCTTATTTCAATAATAATACCCTCAAGATCAATGTTCTATCTAAACCAATTGATGTGAAATTGGGAGGGGATATCAGATCAGGAAGCTGGTTTTTGCTCAATTTTCTGACATGTTGCACCTCAACCTCATCTTGGCCAGACCCCAAGTCAGACTTTGCTTGTAAGATGGAAAGTAGTATCAGCCAATTGATTCAAACCGCCCGAGACTCAGTGTGTGCGCTACACAAGAAAGTGTGGCCTTTGGGACCAGACAAATCACAAGTGGAGAAAGAAAAGGAAACAAATGGTCGATCAGCTGCAAAGGACTATCTTGTGTTGACATCTGAGTGACATCCCTCTCAGACTCTAGCGGCTCATCTGGCTATGACATCATCTCAAAATCATTTTGGCTCTCAGATGATATGATCAGACTCTTTCTTTTCCTCCAGCAAAAACCTTTGACTTGACTCCGCTCGATCCTCCCTCTATCACAACTCTCTCGGGTATAAGGAAGCTGCTCTCTCGAACTTCTCTTTCCTCTCTTCCCTCGTGGAATTGTATCGAACTATCTTTTTACTCATCAATAATCTTCAATCTTCAGTCGCTCTTATTTCTTCTCACCACTGAACCAATTCCTCCGCAAACTCGTCAAAACTCCTTGACATCAATCTTCTATTGACAACTCTGTTCGTCTATCACTTCCAATTGCATCGTTCCTCGATCATCATCAATTCGCCAAATCACTCGATCATCCTTGTCTTGTGTTTGTAAGACACTATTCTCTTGTGTGATCTCATTTGAAAGCTCTCTCCTCAAAAGGCAGTAACTGATATTCAATATATTAGATCTTCTTCTTCCTTGTTTCTTCTGCCTATTGTCTTCTCTCGTGTCACTGTCCTCTCACTTGTGTTGTCTCTGCCTTTAGGTATTTTTTGATTTCTTTCTCTTTGTTTCTGTTTTATTTCTTCATTCACATACATGTCACTTATCAGAAATAAAACTTTAGTTTGATCATTCACATCTTGTACTGAAGCTGAGTGCAATGGGAGCTTGCATGAAGAATACGGCTGAGACGTTGCACCACAAAGGGCTGTCCCATCTTTTGCAAAAGATATTTGAAATTTTCTTAGGAGTTGTGATGATCTATGAAGGTTATGTATGCATAAATCTTGAGAAGAACGGGGCGGCGAAATCGGATAAACTTTACAAACATGGGGGAGCTATGTTACGTGACACGTTAAATCATAATAATTGGACGACTGAGGGCCAATACAAAGCCAAGGTTCAAGGCCACGAGGAAAAAAGCAAGGATTGGACGGAGTTGAAACAGCGAAGCATTGGTGCCTTGGTCCTTTTCTTGAATTTTGGGATACAGGGGTGGTTTGGTTGTTTCAAAAACCAGAAAAAATATACTTATCAGGATATTTATTCATTGATGACGCTGGCGCACAATATGTCTCTCAAGGGTATCAGCATAATCTCGAATCAAACCAGACCCGGTACACATACTCCATGGCGCCACATGAACAGATTCCTTGCTGAGACCTTTGCTTTGGCGGGAATAGGTTGTGATAATATCAACTGGTACAAAGCACTAGTAGTCTGGGATTCAATACTGGACAAAGCGTCTGTGGCCAACTTTTTCTTGTTGAACTTATTTGAGGAAATCGAGTCGCCAGGGAAGAATTTGTGTTTGAGCAGGCTTAACCCACCCCCAACCATGCTGACTGAAACGGTTAAGATTTGCTGGGTTGATTTGATTGGTCAGGTTTGGGTAAAATGGCCCGACTATGTGAAAAAGAAAGAGGAACTAATAAAACTCGATGGCTCGGGACTGGGGTATGGGTATCTTGATCACCCAATTTCACCTCTCAAACTGAAACTGACTGGAGACAAACTTGCCCCAGAGCCATGGGGGGGCAAAAGAGATATATAATTATACTTACTCAATCTATTATTATACTTACAAGTCTTTGAAATCTCACATCAAGTCAAATTGTATACAACTTGGATTTTTTTCCTTTATCATGTTTTTTTATTGTAATTTTGTTATGAGTCTTGCACATGAAAATATAGTCCCAGTCTCGTCTCGTACAAAGATAGATAAGGTGGCTTCTCAACTGGGAGAAAGACCAGCATAACAAGATACTCCTCTATTATTTATTTCTCACAAGATTCACAGAAATCAGCCGAAAGCTTGGCATATTGCAGCATTTTTCAACACATCGTTCAGTTGGGTTAACAAGTACAAAAATTAATAAGGGACTGTTAAACTACTTTTTACTAGAATATGTTTTGGGAATCTTGTGAGCCTTCTTCATTACCATTGTTTATTGTTAATTGATCATATTTTGATTGGATATCAATACCTTGGAATGCGACTGAGGGGAAAGGTGGTATTACTGAGTGGGGCTTTGTACCAGTGTCCTTTTCGTATATATCTCAGTACACCTGAGCTGGAAGGGAAACCTGGTCAATGATCACATGCCAGGTTTGCGTTGCAGTTGGGTTGACTACCGTTGGCGGGGCAGTTGAACCGTTTGACGAAAGGCTCTCTCCAGGATTCTTGAACTCTTCAAATACATCTTGCAAAACTAAGTATGAGATGGTTTGCACCTCCAGCACCAATCCCCAGATGTACATAGCGCTATACCAGTTTGAGTCTTCCGATCCTATTTTTGTTGTGCAAAAAAGGTCAACCAGGAAAGAATTCAAGTGTCGCCATGGGGTACGTAGGTCTGGGGAGAGAGGATACTGATCTCGCGAGAGGTCATGTCATGCGCTGTGGAACTACTCTTGGGATGAATAGAGCTTGAGAGGGATGAGTGCTTTATTGGGCTGCCTCTCTGATAACAAGAAAATATAAGAGTATGGACTCTTAAGGAAAGGTGTGGCTTTGGAGATTTCTTGAGAATGGTATGTCTAATATGTCTTATGTTTACTAGTCTAAATATACTTGTTCACAAATCAAGGTATCCCAAATGTTGATGGGCAAATACCTGGCTAATAGTGGGTGATCAGTTATCTGAATTTCTGGGGCAGGATCTGATGAGGATCAAATGAAGAGGAAAAACAAAGCTCCTTATATACAAAATTCTGGGGAGTGGCCAGCTTGTGGTTGGAAGATAAATGGAACATTCTATGAGAGCATGAAACAAGGGAAAATATTTATCCAGAGAAAACAGGGGAAACAAGCAGTGGGAAAATGCTCCCAAGGTTACTAGTGTGAAACAAATAAGGGGAAGAATATTCCATGGAAGAAAATAGGAGGAGGTAAAAGTTTCATGGACAAGGGGATTGTTACTAGTGTGAGACACAAGGAGAAAGAAGAATGGAATATGTTTGGAGGGGAATGAGTTTCAGGGCTGTGGAGTTTCTGCTGGGAAATATTATTATCCATGTGGTCTGTGCTTGAGGGGATTCATGATTGGTTTTGGATTGGTTTGAGGGCCTGGGAAATTCCTGAGGGGTCTTGATCCTGTGATTCTTGTGTGATTTTTACTCTTGATAACTTTGAATTTTCAGGAGTGGCTTACCACAGCGCAAGTGTGAGAATTGAATAGATATTGGTGTAGTTGTATTTCTTCCGGTTTTTGAAACAACTGAACCACCCTTGAACACCAAACAGTACAAAGATAGCTACTTCACCTATGCACCGCTGCTTGAGATGTCTCCATTCCTCCATTTTTTTGCGTGATCAATGAAGAACGATGGGTTGCCTTCATACTGCCTGTTGAATCCTTTGGTAGATGATTTCTTCAGATAGACAAACGTTACTTCCAAACAATTGGGACTTTGACCGGTATCCCTGATAGATCAGAACAATATCAAGAAGCAATTCATAAATTTTTGTCAAGATCGTTTTTACCCCCCAGATGTTTGGTGGCGGCTTCTCGTTGGTTGGAAGTGCAGCACCCAACCCCAACAGTCTATCAAAGAGGAAATTTAAGGCCCCTCTGCATCCTTCACTTTCCAAGTCTTCTTTGCTGGACGTGCTTTTCTGTTGGGGTGGCATAACAAGGGCTTTGAGCGAAGATTCTGCATTGCGGGTGATCTGAGTTAGGCGGCTTAAGCTAGTTCTCAAAGCATTGCTAAAGTTGCCAGAATGATATTGCTTTGTGGGAGTTGATTGACACATCAGCTGGTTAAGGGAAAACCAGCTACCTGACCTGAAATCCCCTCCCAACTTGGCATCGATTGACTTGGAGAGCACATCCATCTTGAAAATTGTCTTATTGAAATACAGATGGGTTGCCGATATCTGGAGTAATTGAGGACCTGGGATGAAGGATATAAATTTCCAAAGCAGAAGACCAAAAAGAAAGGTAGGATCAGAGAGAAACTTACATTGAGCTAACATTTGACTCAAACATTTCTCATCTGCCATTATATTTTGGACCAAGAGCCAGCGGTTACCATCTAGCCATAGGATTCCGCTGCTATCAGTACCAGGTTTATGGACCCTATGGGGATCTTCAAGATAGGAAACCTGCGTGAAAAGCAAGATTGCCTTGAGCATATCCTTGGTGTACCAGCCGAATTCCATCCTAGTGTTTCCGTCAATTTCTTTGAGCACATTGAGTTGATGCTGGCAGCGAGTTTGGCTGCTGATGGTGTCAATTAGAAGATCTGAGTGGGGGGGCGCACGTCAGTGAGCTTGGTAATTGGCACAATTCCATAGAGAGGATTTACCTTTCAATAGTATGGGGTTGGCATACATGTCGTAATTATCCAAGGATGTTGAATTGACATTAATTTTTTTTAGCTTGGGCCATTTTTCAATTTTGTTGGCAATCCTTTTTAATCAGATGGGCTCTACATCGTCCTTTGAGTGGGGCTGGAAGTAGGATGGATTGGTGGTGGCATTAGGCAAAACACCGGACACTGCTTACAATCTTGAGAGATGGAAAGCAACTGACCATCTACCATTTCCTGCTTGCCGTCATTCTGCCCATCCTTATCCTGACTGCCGTGATGGACTTTGTCTGAGTCTTCACTGGTGGATAAGGGGAGGGCATGATCTGTTTTTTCCGCCTGGTGAGTCGTTACTGGTGAGGATTGAGTAGAGGAGTGTGGATTTGATAGCGGCAGGTTGTGAATGGACAATGGGGATTCAGGATGAAAAAGTGGGTTTTCCTTTGTAACAACTTCTTGTGGATTAGAACTAGATGACTCTGGATTTGAAGCTCTTTCCGCTGGTTTTATTGTTGCTGGTAGGTTATGACTAGACGGGTCTGGATTTGAAGCATTTTCCTCCGGGAGAGGCAGATCGTGAATGGACAATGGCAATTCAGGATGAAATAGTGGTTTTTCCTTGGTGATAACTTCATGTGGACTAGATGACTCTGGATTTGAAGCTTTTTCCGCCGGGTGGGTCAATATTGGTACATTGTCACTAGATTTGCCTGGAATTGAAGCCTTTCCCTCTGGGTGTGTTGTTGTTGGTAGGTTAGGACTAGATCGGTCTGGATTTGATGCATATTCCGCCGGGAGAGGTAGATTGTGAATAGACAATGGTGATTCAGGATGAAATAGTGGTTTTTCCTTTGGAATAGCTTCATGTGGAACAGATGACTCTGGATTTGAAGCTTTTTCCGCCGGGTGGGTCGACATTGGCACATTGTCACTAGATGGGTATGGAATTGAAGCCTTTTCCGCTGGGTGTGTTGTTGTTGGTAGGTTATGACTAGATCGGTCTGGATTTGATGCATTTTCCGCTGGGAGAGGCATTATGGGTGAATTGTGACTAGTGGAGTCAGCAAATAATGGCAGTTCCGGATGGAAGACTTGTTTTTCTTTTGTAGAATCTTCATGGGGACTTGGCAAGTCTGGATTCAAAGTTTTTTCTGCCGGCTGAGGCGTTATCGGTACGTTGTGACTAGAGGAGTGTGCATTTGATGGTGGTAGGCCGTTAGGGGACAATGGCGACTTAGGGTTCAAGACGGCTTTTTCTATGGTCAACGCTTCAGGCAGGTCGTCATCTGATAAGGGTAGTTCTTTTCTTTCCTTGGAGAGTTGTGTTTGAGGGATATCAAGGGATGAGGGAAGTGGTGAATAGGATGATGAAGCTTCCACACTTACTTCCCGGACAGCTGCCGGCGTTATGGAATGATGGGAAGATATTGGGGAAGCATTGGACTGGGTTGACGGCAATATTTGTGGTTGATCACATTGGATATTTGAGTCGGATTCCACTGATCTGTTGCTGATGCCTTCACTTCGTGGATACCTCTCAGCCAAGCTGTCCTTTTTCGGCGTAGCTTGGTCTGCTTTTTAAAAGAAACAAGGACAGAATATTAGAAAGGTTGGTTGCATCAAAAAATAGAATAGCACTTAACCTAAAGACATTCCACTTGTATCAGGGTTAGGGGAAGAAGTTATGGAATCATAGGGAGGGCTGGAGTTGGTAAGGATTGCCCGTGATGGATGTCGTTGTTCGTGTTGAGTATTTGCAGAGGATTCCATTGGAGTATCTTCCACTATGCAATTGGTTTCAGCCAAACAAGCTTTTTTTGGAGTCAGTTGCTCTGCAGTTTGCAAGGATGTAAAGTATATTAGCCCTTTTGTAATAAGTTTGGATTTGGTGTGGACTTTACCTGTCAAAGAATCCAATCTTTTCCTAACCAGTGGTTTGGTCGTTCGAGAAAGCCAGCAAGAACCTATATCAATGGGACCAGTGACTTGACGCTTGCCAGAATCCTCCGCTTGTCCAATTCGGCATTGACATACTTCAACTAATTGTTTGATATGGTCCATATATTCCTGGTGCTTTTTGAAAAACATCGGAGCCAAAGTTTCCAGTGAACCCTTCTCTTTGATTTCTCCAATCTGAAGTTGTACTTTTTGTTTTAATTCTAACACTAGTGTTTTCATCAGGGGTATGGGCGCCAAATGGTGTCTACCTGTCTACCTCGTATAGGGGAGAGGTAGGCCAGGTAGACCATTGGTCATTGGGCCTTTGCCTTTTTTTTGAAAATTATTTACTGAGGTAGACTTTGATCCAGCCCAGGTAGAAAAACAATACCAAAAAAGTGGCTGGTCGATGTATCTAGACTGTGTAATTGTTATTTTGCATGATGTGTTGATGTATTCAGACTATTTAATTTTAAACTTCCATGATATGAACTGCAACCAGGTAGAAAATTAAGCTGTATCAATACAGAAATATTAATTCTCCATGATATGACAAGCAACCAATTAAAAGTTTAAGCCATAAAAATCACAAATGAGTCAGTAAGATGAAGTAGGAAGTGGACTTAGATTCAACCTGGATAACTGATGCCTCCAGGTTGAAATTGATTTGTAAGAAAGGGGCTGGTAAGAGCATATAATTTGTAGAGTATCTGCCTATCTTGATAAGGAAAAGGAAAAATAAAGCAATGTGTTCAAAGGATGCCCCAAAAAAGCTATTGACCTAGTGGTGAATTACTTTGAGAAGGAGATCAGAGTACCGATTTGGGCTCACTGGTTGAGCAGGCACCAAAATCACTGCAGCCACCAGGGAGGTCTTCAAGGCACTTGCATGTGAGTGCCTTCTCTTAGCTTGATGGCACATTTGGTTTGGACCCCAGGGCATGTTTGTTGTAAGTGATCAGTAATTTTTGCCCAATTTGGGACAACCCAGTACCAACTTCAGATTAACTTTTGAGCAACTCAACTGTAACTCAGTTGTAACTTAGCTGCAACCTTGTATCATCTCAACCCTCACGTTTTTTTCACATCCTACTCAAATCTATACCAAGAACAACAGGAGCACTCTTCCACAATCAATTCACATTCAAGGTTTGACCTCAAAAATCAGAGTTGATGTAGAGAAGTTGTCTAGTTTAACCTGAAAATGCAATTTCAATCACACATCTTTGCACATCCTTTTTCTCAGCAAAATTTCAACACAAACTAAACAGCTAGCGGAGGTGTGTTGGTTGGATGACATATGTTCTTTGATAAACATGTCCTTACAAATGCTGTATGCTGACCCAGCAACTTTCACCAAACATCTCGGCAACAACAATGTTTATGTTTTTGCATACAACTCGTAAGACTTTCCACATTATATGGGTTGATATGATGCAAATAATACCTGTATATGTGTGTGGTGGATATACAGTGTTTTAAGATCCCCCAATTTCTCCTTGATACATCCAGCTTATGGGCAAGGGTTATTTTGGCAATAGACAGGAGCATGTTCAAGGGCAAAACAAACACTACTATCCCATCGGCATAAGCAACAAAGAACAGCCAGCCAATTTAAGCCTGAAATCTGTATCAGTTTTACGGCTCTCATTCTCCCCCAAGACCCAGTCCTAATCTAACAATGGTTGATTCTCTCTGCCTCAGTCAAATCCTCATTCCATTTTCTGCCAGATCCACAATTTTTTCCCCTGATGTTCCCCAGGTTGCTTTCCTCCAACAAGGAAACCTAACAGCAGGAGCGCCTGGTACGAGCCCTCATTCCTCAGACCCCTCAGACCCCTCTCTTGGTGGAGGGTCTGAGGGGTCTGAGGAATGGGCATGTAAGCCACTTTCTTCACTGAAAAAGAGCAAAATTTGGCCCTCTGGAAGGCTGAATGACATTGAAGGAGAACAATAAATAAATCTTGTATTTCAATTACTCATAGATGTGTGTAAATTGTACTGTAGCGTGTGTTGTTTTAATTTCATTGTAGCGTGTGTTGGGTTAACTTTATTGTAACGTGTGTTGTGTTAATTGTATGGTAGCGTGTGTTGTGTCAACTGTATTGTAGCATGTGTTTATTTCATACAAGAAGAGTAAATATGAGGAGTAGAAGGGCTATTCAGCAGAGGGGCTCCTGTGGCTGGCAATCTGTAAGATTTGATCATGTTCAGCCTTAAGGGCATTGAACTCATCCAGCAAAGCTTGGTAACATTCTTGACCCTCCTTAACTAACCACTCCTGTAGAGATACATTAGTTCTGAGGTTTATGATATTCTGGTATAGTGTTTCAATAAGCACGGTACCTGTGCGGTAAAAATAAATTGGTTATACACACAAGTAAGTGTAAGCAAAGAACATTAGCAGAGTGAAAGAAAAAAAAATGCAGCTTGCGTGATTGAAAATGGCACCGTATTCCATGGTCACGGAAATCTTTTACAATGCCCAGTCAAGGGCAAAACCTCACAGGAGCTCTCTGCCCATTGTGCCCTGCAGGACTCACATCCATGCTTTAAGCCCAATAAAAAAT